TCCTTTTACTAGGGTGGAAAGGAGGGTTTTGGGGGTCGTCCAGCATGTATGTGTGTGTGTGTGTGTGTGTGTGTGGAGGGGGGCAGCGGGCTTGCCTCCACAAAGCAGGGGTTCACCCCACCGCCTATGGAAAATAGGATTGTCCACTGTGGGGCCACTGCTTTGGTGCTTCTCCTTTGTGGAGATCTATTTGGCATCAGATGAATCCACCCGTAAAAAAAAAATGCTCCTAGCTGCACTGAGGTCCTTTTTATTTCAGCCTCTTGTTTAGAAGGTCTACTTCATCCAATTAGCTGTAGATCCACATCATTGTCTTTGAGTGCTAAGGAACTGTTGCTTGGCAGAGTCATTGACTTTGCTGATGTTGGCACAGGGTACTTCAGCGATGACTGGGTTAATTGGGGGTAGGCAGCTTAATCTGCTCTTATATGGGTGAGAACTCAATTCGAGAGCTCACTATCCTTTGCTGACATAGAATTTAGTTTCAAGGTCTTACCCTTTGAAGCAATCTGTGCCTGCATCACTTGGACCTTCAGAGTCTAACTGGAATGCCACAAGTTGGGATATTTCTTCAGTGCATGAAGTGACATCATTCTGCAGGCAAATCAGGCATTTCTGCATAGTGTGGTCAACTCTTGAGGTAGATGATGCAAAGAAAAGAGGCTATTTTGTACATAGTTTTGTCACACTGACAAACATACTTGAAAGAAAATTGAGTGGCAAAGCATAGAAAAAGCCAACACTAAAAGATTTCTGGCACCATGAACACCAACCAGGTGCTGATGCTCCAAAATACCTGAGAAATGCAAAGCACGGGAGCAGTCTGAGTCAGGCATTAGTGTGCTGAGAAACAGCCAATACTCTTGCTCTGAAGCAAGCATTTAAGCTCTGGGGCAGATACCATAGTGGTAAGAAAAACCCACCCAGGTGTGGACATGCCAAAGCATGGGAGCTGGAGAATTTAGGGGGAAAAAAGCATTGCCTAAACACTGGCAGGCATAAAGCACAACAGAAAAACAAGTGCCAAACCTCCTCAGAGCACACTAGGATAGTTCATCCAATTACCTCACAAGTACTTTATGCAACTGCACTGGACTGCCTGGAAGGTATGACTAATATGGTAAGGTTACATAACAAGTGTCAATAGAATAGCGGTTCTCACACTGTGGGTTGGGACCCCAAAGTGGATTGGGACATCATTTCAATGGGGTTGCCAAGGCTGGCTTAGAGTTGCTGGGGCCTGGAGCCAAATCCAAAGCCCGAGCCCAACCTCAGGCTTCAACCCTGGGTGTCAGGACTAGGTTACAGGACCCCTGCTTAGGGCTGACGCCCTTGGGCTTTGCCCCCTCCCTCCCCGCCCCTCCGACTGCCTGGGGTGGTGGGGCTCAGGCTTCGGTCCCCCCTTCTGGGGTTGTGTAGTAATTTTTGTTGTCAGTAGGGGATCGCAGTGCAATGAAATTTGAGAATCCCTGCAATAGAAGAATTTGAGCAACAAAGAAATATTTTCTCCAAATGGTGCTGCTTTGCTGACTGTGATCAATAAAGAACTGACTCAAACATTTGGAGAGAAGCAGGATGGCATGCCATAGCTGGTAGTAGACTTGTGTCATACTCCATCCTACTATTGCTGCCCTCAATGGTCTAAAAGCCTTTAGAGCTAGGTCTCTTTTCCCGGTCTGCACAGATGTTATCTCTACATATTTTTTTCCTTACCTATTCTTTCTTTGTAAGGGGATAAATCAGTCACCAATTATTCTCAGTCCAAAAATAATCTCTAGCATATTTTTTCCTCTTTGCTTTTAAGCTGTCACTTGCTGCTTAAATAATAGCTGCCTCCCTCTTGCACAAAAACCTAAAACACTTTTAAAAGAAAAGTCTTTGCACTTAAAACCTTGATTTTTACATTTTTGAAAGCAGTTTTATGTACAATCTCACTTTTCTAGTCACTGCTTCATCCTTCTAGATTTGAAGATTCAAAGGATGCTCCATTTTGCAAAAAGGTCAGAGTAGTGTATCCTGATGAAATCATGGTTCTCTACATTTTAAAAACCTAGCAGGGTGGAGAAGAAAAAGGAATCTTAAAAGACCACACACCATGCTATAAAACTTACTGTGCAGTACAATTCTGTCATAGCTGTCATGAGTATAGTACCTCACTGTGTCTTCTTCAACCAGCAGAGCTTGCAGAGGAGCAAATTTGCCCTCTAATTAAACTACTTTAAAATTACATATTTAAAATGGGGCACTCTAAGTGCCCCTGCCCTGATAATGGTAAGGCAGTGAGTGAGGAGGAAGCATTATTCAGAGGTTGGCTAGGGCTGGTTACTAAAATGCTGTTGCAATGGGTGCAGAGCCTGTACATGAGACAACACTCTCATGATTTGTTTTGACAGTGAGCTCTGCCATTAGTGTGCCCAGCAATATCCTTATGGCAACAGAAGGGAAAAATGTTCTGCTAGTGAATCTCGGGCTAGGCCCTGCTAAGACATCTGAAGATCCAGCACCTGGGCAAGGTGCCCACCGCCTGCAGCCAGGGGTGAAGGGGACATGGACTGAGTGCCCCAACCCAGCCATACTCAGCAGAGGTGAGTTATGGTACAGTTTTGCTCTCTTCTTCCCTTGCTTAACGCCCATAGGTGGGAGGTAGGCAGCTCAGTGCTCACACAGGCCGAGCCACCCCCTCGAGTAACGCCACGTGCCACAGCGCAACTGCTGTTTATCATTGACTAACCGCCAGGTCTCGCGCCCATGCTTCCCGCGCACTTGCTCCTAGAGGAGGGCGGGGAGACCATGGGCGCGAAAAAGCCGCGCATGCGCTTTTCACGGACGGCGGGTGGAGGGACCACTAGTCTCTCCGAGTGTGCCCTGTGTGAGGCACGTTACACCTTGTGACGTCAGCGCGCAGCGTCACGCGGGTGGGACGTACAAAAGTGTAAGTTTCAATTTTTTTTTCTACCAACGGAAAAAATTTTCTAGGGCCGCATCCGCGTGCCGGAGCCGGGGAGGGGCGGCTGCGCCCCCGCCCCCACACACAGGGAGCCCTCCGAGGGAAGGGGGGGAGCCTGCGCAGGTGTGCGGGGAGCGGGGGCAGGAGGGACACACTGGGGGGGCTGGAAGGGAGGGACGCGAGGACAGGGAAGAGTGAGACTGACACGTGTGGGGGGGAGGGCGGGAGCGAGATCCCCCGATTGGGGCTGGGGCCAATGACAGCCTAGGAGCCCCCTCCCCCCCACATTGGAGGCCCGTGAGCTGCACATGTGCAGTCGGCGCCCCCCGCCGTGCCTCCGCAGAGCGGCGCTGTGGGGGCGGGCGGGGGACGGAGGGAGCCTGCTGTCCGCCGGCGGCCGCTCAGGTGCAGGCACCATTCGGCATGTGGGAGGTGCTGCTGCGCCGGAGGATGGGTTTGGGCGGGACGTGGGGAGGGGGCGCGGGATCTGCCGGGGGGGGGAGATACCCCCTACTGGGGGAGGGGGGAAGATGGTGCCTGCGGCCCCTGAGTCAGCCGAGCCCAGTGCCTCGCGCGGCCCCGCGCCAGCTTGGGCGGGCTGGTGGGCCCCCGGGGGGGGGGGGGTCTGAGGCGCTGTTGGGGCTGTGAGGAGCCTCAGAGGCGCCGCGTCCTCCCTCACCTCCCGTCGCAGCTGCGGCCCGTCTGGCTGCGCCCGCCGCCGGGTACGGGGGGCTGTCGGGGGGCTGGCCCCGGAGGCCTAGTGCCTATGGCGAACCTGACAGGTCGCCCCCACTCCCATGCAGAGGCCTGGCCTTGGGGGGACGGGGGTGTCGCGTAGTATTGCAGAAGGTGCAGCTGGACCGTGACCGGCCCGGTGTGGGCTTAGGCTGCCGGCGCAGGCCGCCTGCCGTCCTGCTGGGCTCCTCCGTGTATGTTTGGGGTGGGGAGGCCTCTGGAGCTAGGGTGCGAATTGTGACAGCTTCCCCCTGCAGGGAGGTCGTTCCCCCGTGGGGGTTGTGAGGCTGATCGCCGAGAGTAAGTTGATGATGCCAGGAAACTTTTTAAATATTGTGAGACACGTTCTAAAGTAGAGGAATATCTGCTTGTAGTTAATAAATTACATTTTACAGACTTCTGAAATTCACTATTATAGCTGATGTTGTCTTGACTTTCTTTTTAGAAAATAACATCGCTGTTCCTGTTTCCTTCTGTGGGCATCAAGCATTTAAGTGCCTTGATTTCTAGGCATTGGTAACATGGCAAAAGATGTGAGTATATTTGTTTCATATTATGTGGAAGGATGAGTAATAGAATATTTCCATGTTTTTGCTAATAAAAATAAAGCAGGCCATACAACCCACAGATGGCATTAAGGGATATGAAGACCTGCTTTTTGTATCTTATTTAAAACAGGGTTTGCAGTACATCTGTCACTGTTTTTGCATAGAAAGTTTAGAATAGAATTATTAACTCTTGTACTATAAAAAGGCTTAAGATTTGAGAGAATCTGCAGACATTTGTTCTGTGCAACAAAACAAAAAGCCACCATCTTGCTGAAAAGCATTTGTGATGCAGGCATTTTGTGTACTTGTGGTAGAGATTATGAAAACTGCTTTTCATTGTTGTGCTGGGCTTTTAAAAAACCCCCAAATAATGAAATTATTGTTCAATCTGAGTATTTTCAGTCAAGTACCTTTCATTAAGTTACCTGTTTGTTGATAAAACAGGTACATCAGGAGCACCACTGTCAGTGTTGCCCTGCAATTCAACCCTGTTTAGGGGTGAGAGGGTCCTTCAGTCTCCATGCCCATTCTTTTTTCCTTCTTCTCTTCTGAGGCAGACAAAATAAACCTAGTGAATGCCAACAGGAATTGGCCTAGGACAACTATTTTTTTCCCACATAGTCCATCAAATTCAAGCCACTACCACTCACCTCTAGGTTAATAAAAGAGGTCTATCTCTTGAGCCATCTATTCTTACAGTTCCCTTTTTAATACCTCTGTAACTATCCAAAAAATACTGTCTTATATTTAAATTTAAACAAACTTCTGTTCACTAATAGTCCTCATTTAATATCATTAGGCTTTCATAGTTACATGTTACATTGCTAGTAAAGTACTCTGATATTCTGGTTTGCCTATTGATATGTTTTTTGCATATTTTCAAAAAAGAAAACCAAAAAGAAAAACAGCATTTAAAAAAAGGTTTTAGATTACGGCCTAAGGTTTGATGTGAGAAGGTATTGCAACCTTTCAAACAGTGAGAGACAGATAGAACTTAAGTAATCCTTGGTTTAAAGAATTAATATTGTAGAGCACTGATGTGGTTTAAAAAACACTTAAAACAAACAAACAAACCCTAATGATTGGGGCAGCAACCAGATAGAAAAACAGTCAGTCAGGGGTTGCCAGGAAAAGACAAAGGAAGTGAATTATGTTAAAGATAGCTAAAGGTCTTATGGGTGGGAGGAAAGAAAGTAGGCCCATTGAGAGGATGAAATAAAAGATGTTTAAAAGTGACAGAGATACTTAAGACCTTTTGTTTAAATCCCTCCTAGGCTATGTCTACACTACAGACCTTGCAGCTGTACTGCTGCAAGGTCTCCTATGTAGCTGCTCTACATTAGCAAGAGAACAGGAGTACTTGTGGCACCTTAGAGACTAACAAATTTATTAGAGCATAAGCTTTCATGGACTACAGCCCACTTCTTCGGATGCCCACTTCTTCATATGCATCCGAAGAAGTGGGCTGTAGTCCACGAAAGCTTATGCTCTAATAAATTTGTTAGTCTCTAAGGTGCCACAAGTATTCCGGTTCCTTTCTTAATGTAAGGCAG